TTGATAGATGTAAAATATTATTGTTTCAACATGCAATCAATACTCACACATTATCAGTGAGATACGTCCCATTCGTTTTGTATTAACGTCTTTGACATTTGGCATGAAGTTCATACGCAGCTCAGCAAATTGGGCCTGGCCACAGTCAAGTGCTCAAGAGCCCCCTGGGGCCAGTGGGTGCCGCGCAGGACAGCGCAGCCCCTCAGGAGGCCTCAGGAGCTGAACTGAGACCTGAGCAACAAGGGACGAGGAGGATGGTGGAAGAGGGAAGGGCAAAGGAGTTGTGGACGTTGTCAGGGGACAGAGTGGGTGGGCATAGTGGGGGAGAAGAAGTGCTGGGAGAGGGGGATTTAGGGTCCCAATGGTCCAGTGACATCAGCATAGGATCCCCTGTGTCCAGCATCNATTCACTGAAGACCTTCCATACTTTTGAAGTTTTCTCACAGTGAATATGCGTTAACTAGTTTGAGTAAATGTCAAGAGTGACTCATCAGAATGAAGGGATTACCGGCCCTTTTTGTCGATCTGTTTGTTTATATCCTTTTATTTAAAAAGAATGCAGTATCAATGCAGGAAAGGAACAGAAAGTGGCAGTCTGGATGGAAAGAGATCACTGTCACATAAACATATGACACGAGGGAAATGGAAGGATTCATTCCTGAATGTGCTTGGAGGGAAAAGACAGTGGCTCAGATGGTCCAGGGAGCCCCTCACTTCACATTCGATTCAGAAACAAATTCCATTAAATCACTTTGCTCTATGCTAAAAAACAAACCATTAAAAAATAAAACTCTGTAATGAACTAGATAATTTCATCTTAACTTATGTTGGAGGAAAGGACTTTCGAAGATTATGATCAATGAACAATTAAATGCATGTGCAGATTAAATACTACTCAATGTCATATCAAAACTGATGAACTGATATGAACCAAAACTGTGTGTGTGTATGTACAGTGTGTGTATGTACAGTGTGTGTANTAGTCCCTCCACTCCTGCTTTGTTGTCCCCAATCAAAAACTTACTCTCAATGGAGTCAGCACCATCGGCTGGATCCAGCAGCTTCCTGCTTCTCTGAGACCCTTCAGCTTCTGCAGGTTCCTGTAACACACGGTGGAGAACACCCTGGTCAGAGTCAGGAGCCCTGGGTTCCTGTCCTGCCCCTGACAGCCGGCAGCTGTGAGACCCGGGCATGTCACTTCCAGAACATTATTCTGAAAGTTCTGGCCTATGGAACAGGACAGGAAACAAAAATAAGAAGCAAGAATCTTGGAAGGGCACAGACACAATAATCATTATTTTAGAGGTGACTGTATGTCTAAAAAACCCCAAGGTTTAAACAATACTTAAAAATGAATATGTCTGGATGAATGTTAAAAAATGCAGCAGACACAATAAATTAAAAA